CAGCCTCTCTGGTCCCTGCTCTGAGTCTGAACCCTGCCCAGGGTCCTCCACATCTTTGATAGCAGACTCATAGAGTTCCTTGCTATCCAAGTCCATCAGCAGCTCAAATGGATCCCGCTGGGCCACAACAGGAACCCATGAATTGTGCCCTGAAACCTTATTTTCCTGAAAATAAGACCCAGACTTATTTTGTTTTGAGCTCCAAAATAAGCACTAAGGCTTATTTTCAGGGGATGTCTTATTTTTCCCCATGTAATGGAGCCCCACTTCTTTTGTTTGCTGACGGTGGGGCAGGAGGCTGTGCAGTGTTTCAGTGCCACCACTATGAGGTGTGGGGATTGAGCTGCCCCATGTGGCCTGCACTGGTTTACCACAGCCATGCCACTCAAGTCCCAAAATCTGTGTTACCTCGTGGTGGCAGCTCCAACAGCCCCATCCTGCAGGACGGTGCCTGGTTGCTTGCCCATTTCTGCTGCTTGTTCACAGTCACAATGGAGTAGGAGGCAGAGTGATGCAATGTGCCATGGCCACAAGGCAGTTGTTGGGATGTGGTTGGCCTGGTTAGCAGGTGCAGGAGGCATGGGACAGCTCCACTTCCCCTCATCTCATCTCATCTCATGTTGTCAGCACCACAAGCAACAAGATTGAATGGGCGGGTGGGTGGCTGTGCAGGTGCTTAAGTAGGGCTTATTTTGGGGTGGGTAGCGCTTATATTAGGCACATGTGTAAAACATGTTGGGGCTTATTTTTGGGATTGGTCTTATTTTCAGTGAAACAGAGTATTTTGCATTAAATTTCTGAGCACCAGGAAATGTGGTCAGGGGGCAGAATAGTTTAGATCAGATGTTCTGCTGTAAAGCATGAACATTTTAAGGAATCTGCCAGAATGACAAGAAAATCGATATTTGTTTCTATGAATGGCTTGTTTGATCCTGGAAAAAATGCACTTAAAAGTGTGCTCTACCTGTCTGATTCGAAATGGTGCCTTCTGGGCAAAGGTGGCATTGGTAACAGCAGACCTGCTCGCCCTCTGGAACTCTTCTCCTCTCTCCTGCCTGGCACCTCTTCATGGCACACCTGGCAAAGGGCACCTTCTAAAAGGGAAAGGAGAAGTTCTGTAGAGAGGTGAAGATGCTTCACACATTCATTTGTGTATTTCTGTATCCATCTTCCAAATGTCTTGAAGACGTATGGTGAATTAGAGTCAATCAGAAACCAGGATAAGGATATTGGAGATTGGAACTGGGACTCGGCATGGAAAAGGAAGGCTTGGGAATTGAGCTATAGCCTTTCTGTAGTCCTGGGGATGTAACAATGTGAATGATCTGTGGAAACCACTGATGGCTGCTTTAATGGCATCCTGGGCTTCAAGCAGAATTTCTTCATGATCTCAACCCTTTTTGATCTGTCACAAATCAGATCGCAAAATATGTTACATGGAAACAACTTTTTCCTTAAAACGGTTACCAAATTTTGATTTAGTAGATCTGTTTTCCAGTTAGGAAAAATGTTTTGCATCCTGGAAGAGAATGAGTTTTTCTCTGAATTTATGTTACCCTCCAGCTCACCTGTGCTGCCCAGACAATTGCATCAGATTTCACAGTGAAATCCTGTCCTACTGGAGCCCCAGGATGTATGTGTCCAACCTTCATGGGGACAAAAGATTGATTGGGGAGGAGAACCCAGTTGAGAAGATCATAACGAGCAGATACCAGTCCATCTTCTGAGAAGGAGACTTCATCTCCAGCGCTGTTGTTGAACTGCACATTCCTCAAATAGGGAAGAATCTGAAAGAAAGGAGACCTTCAGACAATGGAGTAGTCAGCTGAAAGCCACAAATGGGACATTGTGGCTTCTATCATTCTGTGATTTAAATGGCCATCATTTAAAAAAAGAGTTAGATATATGTGAACTTAGAGGCATTCCCTTAGTGGAGATCTAACCAATCAGGACTAACACCAAATTTTTAAGTACTTCCCCATCACTACTTGTTTCTGTTTTACACTGAGCATTTGTATCATGGTTTCTTCAACTCCAGTTTTATCGGGAAGATACCTGCATAGAAATCTTTCCATGCCACATACCAATATTCATTGCATGTGGTTGCTCCTATGATACTTGGCTATATGCATTTTTAATGTTTACTTTGGGCCAAGGTCTTGAAAATGAGAATTGCACTTTAGAAATGTTCAAGTAATTTATATTGCAACAATATCGAATTCCAATGATTTTTTTTAACTGAAAGGCCAGGAGAGCAGAATGAAGGAACAAGATCTGACTAAGTGAGGCCGCATGGAAGAAATTTCCTGCCTTGATTTTTTACTCTACTGTACAGAAGGATCCAAGGTTTAGCCTTTGATGCATAATATTAATACAATACAGTACAGTACAATACAATACAATATAATACAATAGCAGAGTTGGAAGGGACTTTAGAAGTCTTCTAGTCCAACCCACTACTTAGGCAGGAAACCCTATACCGTTTTAGACAAATGGTTATCCAATGTCTTCTTAAAGACTTCCAGTGTTGGGGCATTCACAACTTCTGGAGGCAACTTCTCTTCCACTGATTAATTGTTCTAACTGTCAGGAAATTTCTCCTCAGTTCTAAGATGCTTCTCTCCTTGGTTACTTTCCACCCATTGCTTCTTGTCCTACCCTCAGGTGCCTTGGAGAATGGCTTGACTCCCTCTTCTTTGTGGCAACCCCTGATATATTGGAACACTGGTATCGTGTCTCCCCGAGTCCTTCTATTCATCAAAGTAGACATACCCAGTTCCTGCAACCGTTCTTCATATGTTGCATATGAATAGTGCATCGTGCATCAAAGAATCACTAAAGGATACAAGAATGATTCAAGAACAGGATATACCTATTGTGTTTCCCTGAAATTTCCCGAGGCATCAGGTCTTATTTTCTGGGGATGACTTACCCACTTACCTTAGGGCCACCACATCCAGGCCTCACACACTCTGACACCTGTTGCGCTGCTGCCTGACTTCATCTGTGGCTGGTTAGTGGCTTGCCATGCTGGTGCTGCTGTTTGTGGCAGGAGACCATGTGGAGCATTGTGCCATTGCATGCTTGAGAGGCGATACTGGTGCAATGTGCAATGTGTGATGTGACCTCCTGCTATATTTTGTGGGACTGCCATGACATGGTACCCAGCAGCACTGGCCTAATGCGCTACTCAGCGGCCTGCCACGAGTGGCAGCAATGGCACAGCATGTCATGTCACCTCCTGCCACAGAAGTCAGGCAGTGGTACAACAAGTGTCGGGGCAAGGGAGGCCTGGTAAGTCCTAAGGTACATGGTCCTAAGGTAAGCAGTTTTGTGGTGCATGAGGCAGCTCTACCCCCACCCCTGCCCTAGCTTGATTTTTACACGTGCGCCTCATCCACATCGTACAATCAGACAGTGGGACAGAGTTGGTGGGATCTTAACTAGGGCTTACTTTTGGGTAGGACTTATATTAGTCACAAATGTAAACATCAAGCTTGGTCTTAGTTTTAGAATAGATCTTATTTTGGGGAAAACTCCATAGTCTAGTGGAAAGAAGGACCAAGGAGGACATGATAGCAGCTTTATAATACTTGAAGGAGTGCCACAAGGAAGAAAGGGCCACATTATTTACCAAAGCACCTGAAGGCAAGAAGAAACAATGGATAGAAACTAACCAAGGAGAACCACAACCTAGAATGAAGGAGAAAATCCCTAACAATGATAGGAATCAACCAATGGAATAACTTGGCTTTAGAAGTTGTGGGTACTCCATCACTGGAGGCTTTCAAAAAGAGACTGGACTGCCATCTTTCAGAAATGGCTAAATACTGAGCAAAACTGAGATGGTTTTGCCAACATGCCCTCCAGGAGTATTAAAACATCTTGCGCTATTGTCCTCTTGGTCTAAGGTGACCCCTCCTCATCAGAATAACCTCTCCATGAAGCTCAGTTAGTCTTTGAAGAGCTTTGAAGCAGGGGTGGGTTGCTGCCAGTTTTACTCTTGGTTTGTTTGTGTGTGTTTTGTGTGTGCTCCTGCACAGTTCAACGTAAATTGTTCTTCATGCATGCGCAGAACAATTTACAGTGAACTGCACATGTGCAGTCACTACAAAACAACATGTGACATCAGTGGTGGCGAGGGTTCAGGGGGTTGGCAAGCCTGCATCGCTGCCGGTTTTGTGACCCAAGCAAAAACCCCACTACCGGTTGGGCCAAACTGGGCCGAACCGGGAGCAACTCATCTCTGCTTTGAAGATCTTTTAGGAAGGTCTTTCCCACATGAATCTTATGGTTTATTTCTCCTTCCATCCCTCTGACCCCCTTTTAACAAAACATTATATTTAAATTTTGCTATAGCTTTCCTTTCTAAAATTATTGTGGTTTTAATCTGCTTTGAGATGCCGCCATATGATGACACACAGGTATGTAATTAGTAATTCAAAAAAGAGTTGCACTGGTTACCGATCAGTCTCCGGATACGCTTCAAGGTGCTAGTCGTAACTTATAAAGCCCTTCATGGTATTGGATCTGGGTACTTGAGAGACCGCCTGCTGCCAATTACCTCCCACAGACCCATTAGATCTCACAGGGTTGGCCTCCTCCGGGTGCCATCTACCAGCCAATGCCACCTGGCTATTACCCGTGGGAGGGCCTTCTCTGTGGCAGCTCCGGCCCTCTGGATTGAACTCCCCGCAGGGATTCGGACCCTCACCTCTCTCCAGGCCTTCCGAAAAGCCATCAAAACCTGGCTTTGTCGGCAGGCCTGGGGGTGATGAGTTCCCTCCCCTCTCGACATGTATGGTTGTGCGACTGTTGTCTACTTTTATTATTTGTATTTTGTCTTTTTATGTTCCCCCCTTTTTCCCCCTTGAATTGTTCGCCGCCCTGAGTCCTCCCGGAGAAGGGCGGCATACAAATAATAAAATACAAATACAAATACATATGGGATGCTTCTGTTGTAAGACTCTGTGGACTGTATAAAAAGATCAAAAAATTACCTGCCAGGTTTGGACATTTGAGATCCTCTTTCCAAGCCTCATCGTGGCTGGTCTGTGCAGTGCATGTAATGCGTGTGCCACAGCATAAATGGCATTGTAGATATTGTAACTTTCACCTGCCATGTTCATGTCAAATTTTAAAGCTGGAAGATTCTGTAACTTCTCCTTTCCTGTACATCGTTCAATCCTGTTTGGAGGTTTCACACCTGGTTTGTGGACATAGCAGCTAAAGATCTTTCCCCACCATGGAGGATGAAATATGTCCCCTTGTAGGTTCAAAGAGTCTAAAGACAGGAGGAAATTTCTGAATTCTGAGAAATCCCTCATGTGATCCCTGAAATGCAAAGCTCCATGGAAGATCTTTACTCCAGTAGACACATGATGAAATACCATCAAACTAGGGTTCCAATGAGAAGTTGAGACCCAAACTTTCCAAAATGACGTGTCCCTGAATTTTTGTTGAGCATACACAACAAACTGTATATTTTCAATACTTCTGGAGTCTCCAAACAGAACAATCACTTCAACTTTAAGCCAACTGTTGAAAATACGAATGAAATGTCTGACTGTAACCATCATTTCCTCAGATTTGAATATTTCAGTGAAGGCCAGGCAGATCTCCTTCTCCTTCAGCATTGGCACCAGAGATGAGACAAAATGTTCTCCACTCTCACTTTCAGGGGCAATAAGCCCAACCCAGTTCCACTGGAAATGTAGGAGCAGCTGGACTAAGCCCACATACTGAGGAAATTCCCTGGGATTAATCTGGAAGAAGGAAGGATAAACTCTTCTGTCTCCCTGAGTGAACTCAAATCCATCACTGAACTGAAGAAAGTGAGAATCTTATTAAGACACAAAATAAAGTTTCCTGGTCAATTAAAGCATCCCCATTGTAAGGTTTATCACCCAAGGGCAACGCTGACTCACTTTGATTAACAAACTTAAGATTCTTCCCTACTTAGGAAGAGTTACCACCTACATATTTTGCCTCTTCATGATATTTCAGAAGCCAGGGAAACAAACCAGCAGTGGGATTCACTTACCCTCCCTACCGGTTCGCAAATGTGAGCATATGGGTTTGTGCACACGGTTGGCTCGCATGCACCATGCCTGTGGATGTGCACTGCCTTCTGTGCAGAAGGTCACACATTACATTGGGGTGGGTGGGCAGATCCTCCCACAGCCACTGCTACTGGTTCGCCTGAACTGGAGCGAACCAGCTGAATACCACTTCTGTAACAATCTATGAACCTGATACAGAAAATCAACTGCACTGAAATAGTGGCTATGTTTTTATAAAAATCAGGTTTACAAATTTCGTTAGCTTATCAAAATATAAAATACAAGGCAAAATAAAAATAATGGGAAAATAGGAGAAGGAAAAAAGGGGAAGGGAAGAGAAAATGTGAGAAAGGGAGAAAAAAAAGAAAAGGCATTTAGCACAGTAGAAGGAAGCAACATTACAGCCACAACTTTTTGCTTTTACCAATTAGTATATACTAATTCTACTATTTCTACTAATTCTACTATTTCTAGTATTTCTACAGCAACAAATCTGTCCAATCGGCAAAACCAAAATCAAAGATTCACAGATAGAAACATACGGTACTTTTCGGTATAAGATGCACTTCCCCGCCTAAAAGAGAGTGAAAAGTTGAGTGTGTCTTATACACTGAATGTAGCTCTGTTAGTAAGTTGAAAAAGCAAGAGTCCATAGAAAAACTTTTAGGGAGCCACAGGGAGTCCTCCCTGGTACATTGTCAGTCGGCGATCTTCATCAAAAGTCCCATTTTTATAAAAGTCAGGAAGGAATTCCTCTTGTCAAGTAGAGTACTTCAGAATTATCTCATTATCATTTGGGGGTTATATAAAATGCATCTTGACAGATAAAATATAAAAATGTGTTTAACTATAGACTAGATTCTCTAAGTCACATACTATACATAGATCCCTGTGTGTTTCTGTTGTTTGTCTGCTATATAAAGTATCCAGTCAAACCTCCCTTACCTGTGGGATCTTGAAAGTGCTGAAGATGGAAGCCATCTGCCTTGAGGATTTGGGGTCAAGACCTCCGATGAAAGAGAGCAGAGGGTCCTGCCTGTCACATTTATAACCTGGAACCATTTGACCTCTTGTGGAGAGCATGGAGAGGCTGAAAAACAAAATCCTTCTGTGAATCTGGCTATTATCATTGATGATGAAGCCAAGGGTGATGTTGGGGAGGAGAACCAGATCCTTGTTCACCTCCCTCACTGCAAACATCAAGGCCAGAACCTGCTGGAAGTTCTTCAATATGGGCCTATAGTAACAAAAAAAATTGAACATGAGTAAAAGATAAAGATTTCCCCTCTCCTTTATCACTTTGATTCTCTCTCAGAATAGTTTCTTCAGGTAAAGCAGGGGAGGGGCAAACTTAGCAACTTTATGACTTGTGGACTTCAACTCCCAGAATTCTCCAGCCCGCCCTTGAGAATTCTGGGAGTTGAAGTCCACAAGTCTTAAAGTTGCCAAGTTTTAAGACCTCTGAGGTAAAGCAACCATTTTTGAACACAAGGCAACAGAATATAGATTCACAGAGTTGGAAAAGAGGTCTTCTAGTCCAACCTCCTGCTAAAACAAGAAACCCTGTACCATTTGGACAGATGGCTTTTCAATCTTTTCTTAAAAGCACCCACAACTTCTGGAGGCAAGCTGTTCCATTCATTAATTGTTCTCATTGTTAGGAAGTTTCTCTTTAGTTCTAGGTTGTATCTCTCTCTTTACTGATCATCCACCCAGTTACTTCTTGTCCTGGCATCAGGAGCTAAGTCAGCCCCCTCTTCTCTGTGACAGCCCATCAAGTATTGGAGGACTTCTAACATGTTACCCCCCAGTACACCTCTTTGTTAGATAATACATATCCATTTCCCACAATCGTTAATTGTACACTTTCACTCCCAATCCCTTAGTCATATTTGTTGCTATTCTCTGCACTCTTTCTACAACTTCAACATCTTTTTGTATCAAAAATGGATGTGGTGTTCAACGTGTGGTCTTATCTGTGTGGTATAAAGTAGTACTAATGCTTCACTATGATCTTGATACTATCCCTCTATTGATGTAGACCAGGATTGCATTCACTTGTTTTGGCAGTGACACACACACTGCTGGCTCCTACTTATTTAGTTATCCACTAGAACTCCAAGATCCCACTCACAGTTACTTCTATTGAGCTAGGTACCACCTATTCTATACCTGCGCATTTGTTTTTTCTTGCCTAAGTTTAAGACCTTGCATTTCTCACCATTAAATTCCATTTTGTTATTTAGTGTTATCTAGTGTTCAAGTCCGTCTTCTTGATCTTAAGCTTATCTTTTAGAATGTTGGTTATTTTCCCTAGATTTATATCATCTGCAAATTTGATGATTAACCCGTCTATCCTCTGATCTAAATCATGTCAATGGTCTGACTAGCGAACCCAAGAAAAGTAAACACTCTTGGGAACTTTGTCATCCCAAAAGTAAAACTTTATTGGCTACACCATTTCAGCACTGAAGAATTAAAACCAGCTCTGAGGTTTCCCTGTGCAAAGCTACATAGTTAAAAATTAGAGTCCTTTCCTTCACACCCACTCTCCAATTACAAAGAAGTTTTTTGTTTTTAGAACAGTTCACTTCATTGTCGGACACCTGCAATAATGATCTTGATGGGTTCTTGGTTCAACAATCTTGACTTGTCTGCATTCCTTCTCACCCTTCATTAGTTAATTGAATAGTGATATGTGTCAAATGATTCAGAAATAATTAAAGTGATAAAAGCACAAAGATTTGAATTACACTAGAATATTGCAAACATCACTAGAACAAATATTACTGACAAAGCCTCTGACAAAGTAAACAATTAACTACACGTTTCCCTCTAGATGAAACTTACGTAATTGAATCAGAAAGCTGGAATGGGTCCTCCTCAAATTCTGGGGTATCGGAGAAACTAACAATTCCCAGGGCTAAATTCCCACCGATAATTAAATCACCAGGTCTATAATAGCCCCATTTATCCTGAATTTTTAAAGGGTTTCTGAAAGGAGATATGGTTTGAATCTTCTTAGCAGCATTTGGAGGCAGGAGCCAGAAGAGCAGCAGGGGGAGGAGAGGCAACCTAGTCATTCTTCTCTCCTTCCTTCCTAGATCAGAATATCAGAGTAACAGAGCTGGAAGGGACCTTCTAGTCCAATCTCCTGCTCAAGAAGGAGATCCTACACCACTGTAAACCAAACGTTGTCCAATGTCTTCTTTAAAATCTGATGGCGCACCCACAACTCCTGAAGGCAAATTGTTTCACTGATTAATTGTTCTGATTTCTCCTTAGTTCTAAGTTGCTTTTATCCTTGATTAGTTTCCATCCATTGTTTCTTGTTCTGTCCTAAGGTACTTTGGAGAACAGCTTGACTTACTCTTCTTCCTGGCAGTTTTTTGGCATTGGAAACTGCTATCATGTCACTCCTAGTCCTTCTTTTGACTAAACTAGACAAACCCAATTCCTGCAACTGTTGTTCATGTGTTTTAGCCTCTAATCCTTCCTTAATAAACTTTGCTGCTCTTCTCTGCACTCTTTCCAGAGTCTCAACATATTTTTTTATATCATTGAGACCAAAGCTGGATGAAGTACTCCATGTGTGATAAACAAAAATCAAGCTTTGTGCAGAAGCTGAATTGCAGGTAGCAATTGAAATTTCAGCAGAGGTTTAGCAGAACAGAGGCAACCTGTGCCATATGGATGGCCCCAGGGCAAAATTATATCCACCAGGCTCCCTCTTACCTATGTTTATCCTATCACCAAAGAGGAAACTGAGGCCAGCTGAATCTCACCAAACCCAGGAAATTGCTCTTTGCAAGACAAGGCAAGGTAACATGTCCTGACCCCACTGGGAGATCTCAGAGCTGGTTTTACCTTGGAAGATTTTGATGAGTAGAAATCCACAGGGGAAGCATTGAGAATTACTGTTCTTCTGAAAATTGCAAGGAAAAGAAATTGTCCTACCCACTCAGCACTAGATTTTGTTTGTGCATCAGATAAGGAAAAACACGTTTGTGTCTTTTTTTGCTATTCCACAGAGCATATGAAGTTGAGAGTCAAAGTGGAGTTGACTTTCTGACCTACATGAAATTGAGCACCTGCACACAATATCGACTTTGGCATGAGTCATAGTTTGTTCAAATACTATGAATGGTGAATAGGGCATGGTGGTACACAATAATTGCTTGTATCCTAGTAAGGGCGAGCAATCCTACCAATGTTTAGATGAAATAATAGTGGTGACTCAATAGTAGTAACTGTGAAAGGGATCTAAGAGTCCTAGTGGACAATCACTTAAATATGAGCCAGCCGTGTGATGCAGCTGCCAAAAAAAGCCAGCACAGTTCTTGGCTGCATCAACAGAGGGAGAGAATCAAGATCAC